TTAGTTTGGTTATCTTTGTCGTATATCTCCTTTACATATTTGAATCCCATCTTACTGATTGTCCTAATTTTGAGCATTGTTTCATCACTCTCACAGTCTCACTTGTCACATTTACAGGCTATATGAAATTACAGTAGTTAAACGAAAATTGAAATTTACAACTGCTACCTTAAAAACAGAGAGCTGGGCGACATTATCCCGGAGACCATACTGCCTATATTCAATGCTTTCACCCTCTAACAACTGAAACCTGACATGAGCAAGTATCAGTCCAAACTCCAAACAAGCAAAATGATCTAGGTACTAACTGTGAGGTATAATCTTTACTTATAGCACTTACTTATCAGCTTTCCAAAACATAGCACAGCCCAACAGAACCGCCAGTGCGCCTCTACCATGGTCAAAGTAACACAATTTAATATTTTCCAACAGCAAGTTTTATAATGAATGATAATACAATTTTCCACTTATTTTAATTTGGAGGGAGGCGGGCGGGTTTAGAGTGAAGTAACCTTATAGGAGCCGAGATATCCAGCTTTCTCCAAAACGTTTAGTAGATCATAATACTTGTCCACCTCCTAATCAATCACATTAATAAAATTCTTCAATCACTTTCACATCCAAAACATGGACATATTTAAATATATTAATATGCAAGAGGCAATTGTAATTACTTGTAGGCAAATTATATCAGGATTTAATCCGAGGAGTTCTTCACAAATAACTCTTTTGCGATGGTCCCAATCTAAGTAATTCGAAGGAACATTTCTGTAGAGATCTCCGTGTTTGGAAACATTCCTATCTCCCAATATGTTATACGAAACAACGGTAAACCTTTCTGCTGCACCAAATTCCATACACTAAATTAAACTTAAGCATTAACAAAAAATACAAGCAACATGCAGTTAGTTGACCAAAGGGACTGACCTTGAGGTGGGACAGTGGAAGAAGCATCTCCTTCCACCCAATGGCGGACAATGTCCGATGCTAGACTAAGCTGTCTGCGACGTTCAGGGTTGTACCACCGCCGGCTGTAGGAAGCCGTCGGCGAAGAGGTGTAATTACGAGGGAACTTAATATAGCATAAGTTGAATATAGGCCGCAAGCTGCGAGTGGCGGCGTTGCTGATTAGCCTGGGCGTGGTTAGCCACGGGGAACCGGCTCTGCCGCAGCCCATGGGAAAGGAAAGAGCGTAACTTTGAATCGACCGGTAAAGCCGAGGACTGTGAGTGGTTAAGCGCCACAGTGACCAAAGGTCGTTATGAGACCACGCATCAAGTGGCGCCTTCTCTTTTTTCTTTTTCCCTTTTTCATGTTCTAACGTAAAGCAAGCTTTTTTATTGGAGAAAAATTATTAATATTATGCCCTTTAATAAATGTGTGATTATTTTATCACTTAGTTCTGATAATTGATCAATATAGTACTCCCTCCGTTCCGATTTATGTGAATTTATTTGAGTGAGCACGAAGTTTAAGAAAAAATAAAAGATTTTTGGAATTTATGGTCCTAAACAATTCAAAAAGGGATCCATAGTATTTGTGTGGTTATAAAAGCTTCTCCATAAAGGGTAGAATTGTAAGTTTAAGCAAAATTATTTCCAAATTTAGAAAGGAGAAAAATTATTTCTAAATTTAGAAAGGGGTCATTCTTTTTGGAGCAGACCAAAAAGTAAATAAGTTCACATAAAATGAAACGAATGTAGTGGTATTTATAACTTATAAGGCTAGCATTCTGGCCTTTCGCCAATCTAAGTGGGCGTTTGGACATAAGGATAGTAAAATTTTGAAAAAGTAAAAAAAAAATTAAATAAAAATTATATTTGAAAATTAGAGTTGTGTTTGGACATGAATACAACTTTGAGCTGATTTTGAATTTTTATGAGTGATCTAAAGTGAAAATTTTGAAAAGTAACTTTTTTGGAATTTTTCGGAAATTGAAAAATTCCAAAATTGATTTTTAAAAAAAGTGAATTTTTTTCGAAAAAAATTATAAAAAAATATATATGGCCAAACAGGCCCTAAGTTCTATGGTGATTTACTCCTTTGGTGTTATTTTATATAGTTTTATCATTGGATATGAGATTTGTATTGTTTTGAATTATTTATTACATTTATTTTAGTATAAAAATATTAAAATAATGATTAAAAAGTTAATCTGATGAAAGTATGAGTAGTAAGAACCACAAGGTCTCAAGTTTAAATTCCAGCGAAGAAAAAAATATTAGGTAATTCCTTTCCATCTGTCCAAGCCTTAGTGGACAGAGTTACTTGCTATCTGTTGCTAAAGGGAGGTAGCAAGTATCCTATGAAATTAGTCGACGTGCGGGCAAATTGGCCGAACACTATAATTATCAAAAAGATTACAAGTTAAATAAATGAAGTACTTGTATAATTATCTCAAACAATTTGGATGTTCTAAAGAACAAAAATGTGACATATGTGCTACAAAGGGTTAGAATTAGGGGTGCCAATGGTTCAGTTCTGCTGGTTATTTTATAAAATTTGTACCATGTCAATTTTTCGATTATTCTAATATGTATAATCAAAACTAGACTTTTCGAAACCGTCCCAATCATGTCAGTTTCTCTTCGGTATCAGTACGATTCGGTTAATTTTCGGTATTTATTTTTTCAAATGTCATGTAAAAGTCACTAGTACAAGTAAAATGTAATAATATACATACTTTTATAGGACTTAACAAAACTCTATAGATATTTTTAATGTTGAAAGGGTGATGCATTAAGAAAACATCAAAATATACTAGCGAAAGAAAGATGGCCAGAGTATAGATCCATCAACTATTATATACTAGCGAAAAAGAAACTAAGCAAAGATAAAGAAAATATAAATTAAACGAGTGGAAAGATATTAACCAAGTTGAGACTCAAGAATAAAGTGTATAGAAGATTAAATATTCAAAAAGATAAATCCAAATCATACGAGAGGAAACATATTCAATATATTGTACTTTTTTTTGGTAATAACTGTGAATATTACCATTTACAAACCACATTAACACATACACCTAAAGAGCACCCAAGCACCAGCTACGCACTACTGACAACAGTAGGTCTCGCAGTCTAATTACAAATTTGTTCAATGAAATCTTAGCACATCCTAGTTCGTTTTCCCTTCTATACATTTGAATCATCTCTATAACTATACTCTTTATTTATTGTATTACAAAATCCTTACTAACTTTCTGTTTTCTAAAGAAAAATAAGTTCATACTCTGCCATATATGCCATCACTTCCTTCCCGAATTTACTCCATCTTCTGCGCTTGATGTTCAACGATGTGGTCATGATATCATGCTGTGTAACATGTTCTCCAGTCCATTCCTTCACTCCTTCCCACACCTTTTTTGCCCATATACACTGTAAAAGCAAGTGTTGTACATCTTCAAGACTATTCAACTCACATAATCCACATGCTCCATCTCTACATGGAATTCCCATGCCAATGATTCTATCCTTTGTTAATAGCTTCTTCTGCATTGCCAGCCATAGTATAAACCTGTGCTTGGGTTGCATAATTCTGTTCCAAATCAAATCAGCAACATTCCACTTAGGCTTTCTCCTACTAGTTAGTTATACCCTGTTGAGACCGAGTACCTCCCACTACTTGTGAGGCAATAGCTGTCATTACTGTACCACCCCTTTATTAGTTGCTTGATACCGTGTAGCTTCCTCTAATACCAGCTACTATCATGTGTTGGTTGATGTGTCTAAAAAATCATCATTTGCTCTCATATAGATGCCATGTACCCATTTCACCCATAGTAGTTCATTCTTGTTAATTAGTAACTATATTAACTTTCTAATATAAGCTATATTCCACAGTTTGCAGTTCTTGATATTCAGCCCACCTTGGTGCTTAGGTCGACACACTTTCTCCCATGCTACTAAAGGTATCCTTTTCTTCTCTGTAGTGCTTCCCCATAAGAAGTACCTATATTTCTTATCTACTTCCTTCAGCACACTTTGTGAGAGGGTGAACACTGCCCCCTAAAAATTATGCAGTGAAAATTGGAAAGACACAACCACCTGTAGCCTCCCTGCATAAGACATGTGCCTATTTGATATTGTGGTCAGCTTCTCAGTGATCTTCACACATAGTTGGTGACAATCCATTTACTCCCCCTCTATGGTAATAAGGTAAGACCAAGATATCTCATAGGAAATGTGCCGCTCGAGTAGCCTGTGATGTCCAAAAGTTTTTGTTTTAATTCATCATCCACCCCTACAAACTTTTCTGTATTTGCCTCCAGACCTATGGTCTCTGAGAAGTGCTTAAGTGCTTCCATTATTCTCATTACCGCTGCTTCATTCCCTTTACAAAACAACATTAGATCATCTGCAAATGTCAGGTGAGTAAGTTGTTGTTCCTTGCATATTGAGTGGTATCTAAAATCTGTGAGTAAGTTGTTGTTCCTTGCATATTGAGTGGTATCTAAAATCTGGCAGCTGGCTCGTCCTCTTTAGAATCCTAGAAAGATATTCCATCACCATAACAAAGAGCAAGGGGGATATTGGATCCCCTTATCTTAGACCCCTCTTCCCTTCAAAATAACCATACCCCTCTCCATTAACCTTTACTCGGAACTTTGTCGTTGTTACACATGCCATGATCAACTGAGTAAACTTTGGAGGAAAGCCATATCCCTTTAATATTTCTTCAATGAACTCCCATTCTATCATATCATACGCCTTCCTTAAATCAATCTTCATTAGACATCTAGGGATAGTTTTCCTATTTTAGTGTCTTAGTAAATCACTGCACATAAGAACATTATGAACTAAAGACCTTCCCTTCACAAATGCTGCTTGATTTTCACTTACTATAGTAGGAAGCACCTCGGTAAGACTGTTGCACATAACCTTCGATATACACTTGTAGAGCACATTACAACAAGAAATAGGTTGAAATTAGCTAGATTCTGTTAGATTAGTCACCTTAAGTATCAAATTTATCTTAGTAGCATTAAGCTGATTAAGCATTTATCCATTGCTGGAGAATTCTATCACAACATCAGTGATATCTTTGCCAACCACTTTCCATGCATCTCTATAGAACCCTACACCATACCCATCTGGCACAGGACTCTTATTGACATTGATACTAAACATTGCTTTCTTGATCTCCTGTGCAGTTACACCCTTTATCAAACCTAATTACTGTTGTAAAGACAATACATGTCCTTATTTTAAGAACCCATGACATGCCTTTCCCCTAGTCCCTCCATTAGAACCTAATAGTTTCTTATAGTAGCTGACAAACACATCAGCAATCTTCTCAGGATCTGTTTGTAGTTAATTCAACTCATCATTAATTTGAGTCACTGATTGTACTAATCTTCTCTGTTTAATAATGGAGAAGAAGTACTTGGTATTATCATCCCGAAGTCTAATCCATGTGGCCTTACTTCTCTGCATCAAGAAATTTTCAGCCATAAGTGATGACTCCCTGAACTTATCCCTTGCATCTTTCTCTTGCTGCTGAAGATTTTGATCTAGTGGTGTTTGTTGTAGCATAGCTTGCAATTTATGCACTTCCTCCCTATCTTTATTAGCTTCATTTATGACATTGCTAAAGTTTCTCTTGTGTAATATTTTGAGTTTCTGTTTCAAAGCTTTTAACTTTTTTACTACCTGATATATCTTACACCCTTCCACTTGCATTGCCCACCCCTCTTCAACAATGTGTAGGAAATCTGGGTGTTTACTCCATATATTGCAGTATCTGAAAGCTTTTCCCTTCTTTTCCTGTGTCTGGATCATCTCTACCACAAATGGACAATGGTCACTGACCCCTTCTGGAAGTGCATGAGTCTTATATTGTTGCATTGTATCTATCCATTCCCCATTAACAAATACCCAATCTATTTTTTTAGCAGATTCTATTAGCCCCCTGCTTGTCATTCCATGAGTACTTGTATCTATTGCTAGGTAACTCCATAAGTATGCATTTATCTATACATTTTTGAAAGTCCACCACCTCACTAAGTGTTACTTCGTTCCCTCCAATTCTATTTTCCTGTTGAAGTACTGTATTGAAGTCTCCCATGAGTATCCATAGAAGCTGACATCCTAAACTTATCTGGTGTACATACTCCCACAATGCTCTCCTCTCATATCTGAGATTATGTGCATACACAAATGTGACCATGAATGTGATTTGCATAGGGATATACTTTACTTCGCAAGGTATTGACTGTGCAATCTCATTAATGATCCTCACCTCATACCATTCTGGTTTTCACACTACCACAATTCTACCATTGTAGTGTGAAATATGATTGCTATAATATTGCTACCCTACAAACATAGAATTTATAATATTCTCCATCTTATTACTTTTTATTCTAATTTCTAGTAACCCAACTAATCCAACATTCTAATAAGTGTAGAAGAGTTTGACCTCTTTCTACTTACTGAGGCCATTGAGGCCTCTTGTATTCCAACTCAATAGTTTAACCATCCCCTATAGGGAAGATGGTACCACTCCCTCATTTCCCTAATCCATTATTAGTACTTGTCTCTGCCTTGTCCTTCTTGAGGTTTTGGAATGTATTAGCCACATGCACCACTGAATGTGACTAATTGACTGATTTATGAGGTTGCACCCTTCCCTGATGTCCCCTCCAAGGATTCTGCTTTTGCCATCTACCATGCATTTCCTCCATCCCTATTTCTTTGCTCCCCTTATCCTCATGTGTTTTTACTGTATTCACCTCATTGTCAGCATTCTGTTGAATCACCTTTTTTGGTTGCTTGCTTCCTGTTTCTTGGCTTCTATTGTTGCCTTGTTTTTCCTGCAGATATCTTATGTATGCCCATATTTGTTACAGCTAGAGCATATAGAAGGCCTCCACTCATATGTTACTCTTTGTTCAATCACAGAACCTTTCTCATTTCTAAAGTAAATCAGCTCTGGTAATTTTTCCCCAACTCTCACTTCAACTAATAATTTTGCAAAGTTCAATTCAAATTTCTTTTCAGTATTATTGTCCACCATGAGAGGTTTCCCTATTAAGCTACCAATTTTGCTCAAACTCTTTGCACTCCAGTACTTAAAATCCAACCCCGACAATTTGACCCAAATAGGAACTGAAAATAGTTCCTCGCGAGTAAATTCCATGTCTGCATTCCAAGCCTTCACAATAAATGGTTTGTTATCAAAATGATATATTACTCCTTGAATGATTTCATTCTTTCCCTCTTCATTCTCAAATCTGACCAGGACTATACCATTCTTCATCATTACTATTTTGTTAATTCCCAACTTTCCCTAATTTCTTTGTATGTAACCATTTAGGACTGCAAATGGAGGGTGTGCTCCTAATAAATAGCACACTATAGCATTACTCCAGTACTCGATCTCTGTAACAATATCGTCATCTTCAATTTCCACTGTCTTTTGTCCCCCCATAGTAGTAGGGTTAACGAACTCAAGCTTAAAGCCATCATTCATTATTTTTAATATATCAAAATTATCCTAAACGGATGCCCTAGATTCAGATCCCTAACCTGCGCTCTTCTCAGCAAGTTCAACCTCGTCTGCCCATGATTGTTTCCCCCCTGTAACCACGGTTTTTGTTGCTTCAATCCAATTTTCCACTCGCTCCTTCATAGGTGTACTACTTTGAATTTGTGAGCTCATTTTGCTGCCCTCTCCATCGGAAATACCTCCTCTTGTCTCTCGTATCACCAATTCAGTTGAATTTCATTGAAATTCCGTCGGAATAACTTCTTTATCGCTGGTTATTCCAACCATTGTTTCATTGAGCTTAGGACTGGAAACTTCAAGAATCCTTTTCCCATGGTGTCACGACCCCAAATTCATCCTGATGGCACCTAGTTTTAGGTAAGCCTAACAATAACAACAACAATAACAACCATGTAAAATTCCACTAATGGGGTCTGGGGAGGGTAGTGTGTACGCAGACCTTACCCCTACCCCGAAGGAGTAGAGAGGCTATTTCCGAAAGACCCTCGGCTCAAAAAAAAAAGACAAAAGGGACAAAAAGGGATACAATATTAGTATCACAACAACAATCATAGGATAAATAGGAACACCATGAAATCCAGAAGAAAGATGCAAAGTAAAGGGAGATAATATTAGTAAATATTAGTATCACCACAACAGTCATAAGAAAAATAGGAACCTCATGAAATCTAGAAGAAAGATGTAAAGCAAAAGCGATAGCTAGTAAATAGGACCTGCACTGAAAAGAGAAATAGTAAGTCACAACATTCCCACTAGTTATCATAAACCTACATGGCTAGTCCCACCATGTTACGAAGTAAGGCACGACTCAACTACCTCCTAACCTACAACCCTAATACTCGACCTCCACATCTTCCTATCAAGTGTCATGTCCTCGGAAATATGGAGCCTCGCCATATCCTTCCTGATCACCTCTCCCCAATACTTCTTAGGGCGCCCTCTACCTCTTCTCGTGCCCTCCGTAACCAGCTGCTCACACCTCCGTACCGGAGCATCTGGGCTTCTCCTCTGAACATGTCCGAACCATCTAAGCCTCGCTTCCCGCATCTTGTCATCAATGGGAGCCACATGCACCTTCTCCCGAATATCATCATTCCTAATCTTATCTATCTTAGTGTGCCCGCACATCCACCGCAACATCCTCATCTCTTCTACTTTCATCTTCTGGATATATGAGTTCTTAACAGGCCAATNAAGTCACGGTGACTCTCGGAATGCTCCAATTCGCCTAGCACAATATCCCGATCCCCTTCTTCATCTAGAAGTTTACGAAAGTAAGTCTGCCATCTCCTCTTAATCTGGTCATCTTCCATCAATACTCAACCATCTTCATCCTTGATGCATCTCACTTGGTCCAAATCTTGAGCCTTCCTCTCTCTCAACTTGGCCAGCCGGAATAACTTCTTCTCCCCACCCTTTTCCCCCAATTCCTCGTACATACGACCATACGCCGCAGTCTTAGCCTCTGTGACCACCAGCTTAGCCTCCTTCCTAGCTGCCTTATACCTATCCATGCACACTCGCCTCTCCTCCTCACCTATGCTCCCCACTAACTTCAGGTACGCCGCCTTCTTTGCTTCCACTTTACCTTGGGCCACTTCATTCCACCACTAGTCTACTTTGTGCCCACCAGAGACGCCCGTCAAGACCCCTAACACCTCTCTCACAACCTCCCTAATACAGTCTACTGTCGTTGACCACATAGTGCTCGCGTCACCACTGCTCCTCCAAGCTCCCATAGCAGACAACCACCCCTCTAACGCTTGGGCTTTATCCTTAGTTAAGGCTCCCCACCTGATTCTCGATCTTCCTCGAGTATACCTTTTCTTCCTCTTTAACATAATACCAACGTCCATCACCAAGAGCCTATGCTGCGTCGCGAGTATCTCACCCGGAATCACCTTGCAATCCTTGCACAACCCTCTGTCACACCTCCTGAGGAGGAGATAGTCAATCTGGGTCTTCGCCACCGCATTTTGAAAAGTAACCAAATGCCCCTCCCTCTTCTGAAATCTAGAGTTCGCAATCATCAACCCAAAAGCCTTAGCGAAGTCCAATAAACATGTACCTCCTCCGTTCCTCTCCCCAAAACCAAAGCCTCCATGCACCTCGCCATAACCACCTGCGGTCGACCCAATATGCCCATTGAAATTCCCTCCTATGAATAGCTTCTCAGCAGTCCTGACGCACAATCTCATCTAACCCTTCCCAGAAGCGCCGTTTAACCTCCTCATCTAGGCCCACATGCGGCGCATAGGTGCTAACGATGTTTAGGGTGCACTCTCTAACCACCAACTTAATAGTCATCAATCTATCATTCACTCGTCTAACCTCAACCACCGACTCTCTAAGTTCCCTATCCACCAAGATGCCCACTCCATTCTAACCTTTCTGGACTCCTGAGTACCAAAGTTTATACTCGTCCACGTCTCTCGCCCTCGACCCTACCCACCTTGTCTCCTAGACACACGCTATATTGACCCTCCTCTTCTGG